CCCAACACCTTTCTCTCACTCTCTCATGCTCCACCTCTAGAGGACAGAGCGAAGACATGTACCTTTTTATTTTTCCAGAAGTATTTCTTCTAAATATCTCCTTCTGTGTTTCTGAACTAATAAGCAGTGCCCATTAATTGTGAATATATTTCTCAAATGTCAGTGTTTCATTTTTCCCACTTGGAATATTAGAGCAGTTATATATGTCCAGCTAACATTTCAGATTAGAGAGGTACTATTTGCTGATTATATTATAAACACTACTATTTAATTGAGCCGTATGTTTTATATATATATAAACTAGATCAGTTATTTGTGGGATCAGGAGAAGTATCAGGTAGGATACTTTGCTTCTGATTCCTGTCCTTCCAGGTGCAAATTTACGTAGGTGTTGAGTAGTTTTCTCTGTTATTGATCACTCAGCTCAACGTACTCAGTCTACTACAGGCTTCTTTAGAAGCCACAGTTACAAGATTATAGAATATATAGTAACTTTGCCCTGGCTGTTGGCATGTAGGAGATGTAAATGGATCTCCGATGGCTTTGCCAACCAGAGGTATGGAATAGTCTTTCAAGAAACAACTCTGATAGAACAGAAAAAATTAATTATCTGTATCTGGGATTTGGTTTGTATTTTAATTTTTTTCTTTCTAAATTCTCTTTGTCTCAGACTAGTGAATGAAGAACGAACACTAGAGGTAGAAATAGAACCTGGAGTGAGAGATGGAATGGAGTACCCCTTTATTGGAGAAGGTGAAGTACTGATATTGATGTTTTATTGTCATAATTTTCTGTTCTCCAGGTGCGTGAGAATTCCAGCCACCCCCACCTCACACCATATCCTAATGGCCACTAGTAAACATGTATATCATTTCCAATACTCTTTGGTCAGTTTTAGGGCACAGAAAGCCTTATATGACCTTCATGGATTTTCACATTAAGCCATAGCATTACAGTTTACCTTTTGAACATCACAGTCAAAAGTTACTATCCAGTAACTTAACTGGATATCTAGTAGCCTAAGTTATATCAAAATTTAGAGTGTTCAGACCCTAATGGATTAATTTGAACTCAGTAATGAAAGAAGATATGTAGCTGTGGATGGCATTAATGAGATGCTCTCAGACCTCACTTTTGAGGTTTCTGAAAAAAAAAAAAAAGAAAATTTAAGACTTAGGTTCAAGAAATCAATCTTTCTTTGGTTAGGAAACAGCTCAAGTTACTTATCGCTGTGTCTGAGACACAGATGATCTTCACTAATAATTTGAAACTTGGTATAACCAGTTAGAGACATTGCTCTCACAGGTAGACTTGATAGGCCACACCTAAGGTAGTAGCTTTTAAAAATTCTCCTAAACTACAGGTAGATTTGCAGTGTTCGTCTTGTGTGACTTACGATATACCATCATCTCTTCTGACTAGGTGAGCCTCATGTGGATGGAGAGCCAGGAGACCTGCGGTTCCGAATCAAAGTTGTCAAGTAAGTGATCTGATTTCGGAGGCCTTCTCTTTAGGCCCCGCTTTTCAGATGAGTTGGATTAGAAAGAGATAGATAGCCACCAGGACACTGCTAGGCTTTTCCCTGTGTTTCATGCCCTTCATTACCTAATTGGTCATTTGTAACTACAGCAATACTGAAAATTTGGGGTTGGGGCCCAGGATTGAACTGTTATAATTTACTTGGGACCTACAAATCCAAAAGATGTTGGAAGGAAAGAATTGATAAGACAAGTAAGGAGTTGTAAAAGAGAGACAAACAGGAATGGGACTCAAGGAGAGACCTGAGATTTTGACTGAGCAAGCATGACACCACAAAGGAATGGAAGGCTTTACATAGAAAGAACCTTCTGTTACATAATATGCAGCTTCTTTTTAGCATGAAATGCTGATTATACAAGAATTTTGCCCAGGACTTAAGCTTTCCTGTTTATTATTTCTCTCTTGTTACCACTTTGGAAAGCAGTGATACTTCTGCTTCTAAGGATTCATTGGAACAATTTTCCTATGTAAATATGGAGAAACATTCCCCCACTGCCTAGGACTTTCGCCTCCTACCACTCTTAATCTCAGAGATCTTTTCCCCAAGTTTCCTTACCTACTTTATCTCTCTCACATCTTCCCAGAAAACCTGGAACATGTGCTGTTCCCTGAGTAAACCTGGTACCTTCTCAAGTCCTGGTCTTTGCCAGAATTCCCTCTTACTCCAACCTCACCCTCCCCCATTCCCACCTTACCTGCATCTACAGCTGACCTGGCCTCGAGCCTAGCCCTAGAGACCTTCCCAAATCTTTTCCACTGCCCATCGCCCAGCCCCCACTGCCAGAAGTTGTCTTTCTCTTTTCTATAATATGATTACTTGTAGTTTTAGTTTTACTTATGTGCTTTGCCTTCTGCTGATTTATAAACTCCTTAAGCATAGAATTTAATAAACCTTACACAACTTTTTGGTTTCAATTAATGCTACACACAAAGGAGTGTCTAATAAATGTTCATTGTTTAAAAGAGTGGTATTCATCCTTTACCAAGATTTTTCTTAAAATTTTTGGAACACTTTCCAAAGAAAGATGGGAGTTTTTGATTTTTGCCTTGTTCTATTTTTAGGCACCCAATATTTGAAAGGAGAGGAGATGATTTGTATACAAACGTGACAATCTCACTAGTCGAGTCTCTGGTGGGCTTTGATATGGATATTACTCACTTGGATGGCCACAAGGTAAACAGACCAATTTTCCTGCTTCCCATCCTTTTAAAACCTGTCTTTTTAAAACCTGTCTTTTAAAACCTTTGTGTGGGTGGTTTTAAGATTACGTGTTTTTTCTTTTCCTTTGAAAACCTATTTCTTCAGCTCACAATGTCCTAATGGTGTTTCCCTTGTCCCTTCTTCACCCTTGCTGCTGTGCTGAGCTGTGATACGAGCTCTGGACACCAGTGCATGCTAGCAGCAGTGTGTGGTGTTTCAGGAGTACCAGTCCTAGTCCGGTCCATTGCCTTTTGCTTTCTAGGTACATATTTCCCGGGATAAGATCACAAGACCAGGAGCCAAGCTATGGAAGAAAGGAGAAGGGCTCCCCAACTTTGACAACAACAACATCAAGGGCTCTTTGATAATCACTTTTGATGTGGATTTTCCAAAAGAACAGTTAACAGAGGAAGCAAGAGAAGGTGAGTGGTCTAATGAGAAAGAGTGTGTGTGTGTGTGTGTGTGTGTGTGTGTGTGTGTGTGTGTGTGTGTGTGTCATGTCTGCAGTTTGTGAGTATGAAAACAGTGGTTAGAGATGACAGGCAACAAAAACAAACTCTCTGGTGACCTTGGGCATCAAACACAGGACCAGGAAATGAACTTGCCTTTCTATAAAAGAGATATTGAAAATCTCATCACCATGTTACAAAAGGCTGGGTGAAGAGGCTTTGGCAACAAGGGTATGTGGCTGTGAGCGTGAAGTGGGATCACATAAAACAAATAAGCTGGACCAAACGGTAAAGGGAAGGATATACATTAGAAGGGCTAGAGGACAAGGGGTGGCATCAGCAATGGCTACTTGAGGCAAGGGCCCAGTTGGTGCATCGGAGGAAGGAGAATGGTGAAAGAGGTCAGAACTAAAAAGAGGACAAAGAAGAAGGAACGGAAGACAACTGAAGAGCTTGATTGCCATTTTCTCATTTCTCATTGATAGGGTTTTGTGGGATGTGTGCCTCAGAGACAGAAGGAGATAAGGGGCCATGCCGTCTTGGACATACGTGTGCCCGTGGGGGGGGGGATCCACACGCAATGAACTTGAACATGGTTATTTATCTGTTTAACTTGGATCTGTGGTCGTCATAGGGCCTTTTGTGAGCCTCCCCATGAAATCTCTTTAAACTCTAAGCGAAATCGCGTTTTTTTGTTGATGGAATCACTTATTCTTTCTTCAGGTATCAAACAGCTTCTGAACCAAGGATCAGTGCAGAAGGTATACAATGGACTGCAAGGATATTAAGAGTGAATAAAATTGGACTTTGTTTAAAATAAGTGAATCAGCGATATTTATTATCTACAAGGGTTTTTTTGTGTTTTTGTTCTTACTTTCAATATGCAAGTTTGGCTTAATTTGTTTCTCCTAATGATCGTCATGAGATGAATAAGAGGGCTTAAGAATTTGTCCATTTGTGTTCAGAAAAGAATGACCAGCAAAAGGTTTAATAATACCTCTCCCTTTGGGGATTTAAAGTCTGGTGCTGCTGCCTGAGTTTCAAGAATTAAAGCTGCAAGAGGACTCCAGGAGCAAAAGAAACACAATATAAGGGGTCGGAGTTAATTGTTAGCCATTTCATTCAAAATACCAACTGGAGAAGTCTGTTTTTAAATACATATTGTTGTCATTTTTTTTCTTGACTCCTGTTTCTTGTTGGTTTAGCTACGTTGTTGTCCTTCCATCTCCATCTGGTCACTTTCTCTTGATCCTCCTAGTGCCCCCCTGGCTTCCTATGGGCTAGTTGGGTTGTCCTCCCATCAGGCAAGATGGACACTCAAACCTGCAAAAGGGCTGAGGTGTGACACGTGCTCTGGACACCAGTGCATGCTAGCAGCGGTGTGTTATATTTCAGGAGTACCAGTCCTAGTCTGGTCCATTGCCCTTTGCTTTCTAGGTACATATTTCCCGGGATAAGATCACAAGATCAGGAACCAAGCTATGGAGGAAAGGAGAAGGGCTCCCCAACTTTGGTAATGAACCAGCCCCGTCCCTCCCACCCCCCCACCCAATTAAACACAAATAGTATCTTCTAGAAAGTAGCTTGAAGGAACTGAGTAGATTAGAGATTGGAGTACATGAGTCCAGGTTACACAAAGATCTAACAGTCCCTGAGAAAGTATATCTCCTCTCATTTAATTTGGGAATAATCTGATATGGATACTTTACTGTTTATAAAGCACTTCTCATATATACAATCCCAGTTGACCTCCTGATTAAAAAGCCTTTGGTTTGTGTTAGGAACTAGGATTACCACTGGCCCTAGAAAATGTGAATGTGAAGTAGACCTGCAGATTACTTTTGCCTCCCTGAGGGGCCCCTGATTCAGATGGCGCATGACTTAAGTATGTTTTGTTTGACTTTTGAACCTCCTTCCCTCTTCTCCCAGCCCGTCACACTACTTTTCACATACTCTTGGGCTTCTTGCCTCAGCTAGTGAGTAGTTCAGTAGTGTGGAATAATTTCTGTTGCAGTATGTGTAGAACTACCTTCCTGCCATCTGTAATTCCAGCAGCATTCCTACCTTTGTTCAAGCAGCCAGTACTACTCTTTGCCTTTTTGTTGCATTTTGCCCCTGGTATACAAAAATGAGTGGAAAAAGGAGGAAAAAATGAAAATTTCATCAATTTAGAGCAGTTAAGAACAAGACAAAAAGCAGTGGCACACTTTTAACAGCAATCAGACTTGAGTACAACTGTTCTCTTGTGAAGGAAAAGAACAAAATTAAAAGGCTTATTTGAAATGCTGGAAATCTTAGAATTCAAATGAAATCATGTATATTCATATCTTAGTGGACTTTTTGTACATTTGATGTTCATTATGTACTGAGTTACCTAGTCGAACATTTTTTAGAACTAATCATCATTTCCCTTACATTTCTTAGCCCAAGAGAACTCTTGATCGTTACCTGGACTTGCTCATTCCCCTCTTTCTTAGATTTTTGCAAGACTCAGTCACATACTGAGAGCTAGAGCTACTAGTCTTGGCTAGAAAGACCCTATGGAGATAATGTTCTTGCTACAAGTAAGAATGTTAATGGGGCTTTGTTACTCCTGTTAATCCATGATCCAGATGGCCATGATTTGAGAAGTTAAGAATATTCTTTTCTCATTTGACTGAGCTTCAGTTCACTTTAACTGCTTTATCTGAAGCACACCATAATGTAGAAAGATTTGTATCATAGTTCTATAGATTTTTCTCACCCTAAACTATTGGGGCAGAATAGTGGTGGTAGACATGATGGGGAGATCTTAAAACCAGGTTCCAGAGCCCAAGCTTTTTTGCGCTGTGGTGTAACTCTAACGCCAGAAGTTAGCACCACCCACAGTTGAAGTGCTGGTCCCTGAGACAGCTAGTCCCTACCAAGTAAGCTAAAGAGAGCATCTATCCAGGAACCTTGCAGAGGGTTCTTTAGCTTGGGAGGGTATAGCAGTCATATGGATGTTCTCTTTAAGCCAGAAGGTTATATCTATCACACTTATCAAGTGAGGAACAGTGAAAACGTGCCTTCTTACTGAGTAAAAAATATTTATTGAGTGCTTCTATGGGCCAGGTTCTGTTCAAGTACTTTATACGGATGAACTCAGTTATATGGAAGAGAGGCTGTTACTCTCTGTGTACAGATAAGCAAATTCAGTTCCATCTCCCAGCTCCCAAGTGGTGGGGCCTGCATTTGAACCCAAGCAGTCTGCTCCAGCACGCAGAGGATGTGATCAAAGGGGATGCAAACCCAAACTCAAAATACCACACTGGGTTTTTTATTTCTTCGGTGGCCTTTGAAGCACAAACCTTAGGGTAAGTCTGAAGTTTCAAGCCAAGACTTTATCACTGTGGCTCACTTTCAAGAGGAACTGGCTGAGCTGAGAAGTAGCTACAGGCTATTCCCCATGGGCATGTCCCTGGAATTTCAGTGGCAGCATATGAATCCAGATGGATCATGGCATGTCAGATTCTCCGGCCAAACTTGGGGCAATGCCTGGAGTCCACAGATATCTTTTTTTTAACGCTTGCTGTAGAAACTGAGAGTCTCCTCAGTGATCTAGATGCAGGTCCAGGAAGAAGACAGCCTGCCTGATGTGCCCCAGTTGCAGTCTGTGAACCTGTGGTGTTCTCAGGTGTTTGCTCAGCTTGAGCAAAGCATGAACGTGCATGCTTAGCCCCAAGTCTGCAGTTCTGAGTCCAAGTGTGGACTGTGTGCAGTGAGACTGGATTCAAATCCTGGCTCTGCCAATTATCAACTCTGTGACCCCAGATAAATATGGTAACCTCTCTGAGCTTCAGTGTCCTCCCCTACCTGATTCTGACAAACAACATGATGTATTTGAAACTTACCACAGTACCTGGTGTGTAGCAAGCATTCATTATTTTTTTTTTAGAGAGCGAGAGAATCTTAAGCAGGCTCCATGCTCAGAGCAGAGCCCTGCTCAGGGTCAACCTCATGTCCCTGAGATCGTGACCTGAGCTGAATCAAGAGTCAGACATTTAACCGACTCAGCCACCCAAGCGTGCCCCACAAACACTCTTTAAATATGAGTTGTTGCTATGGAGTGAATGTGCCCCCACTCCAAAACGTCATAGACCTGATCCCTAGTATGATGGTGTTCAGTGGTGATTCAGAGGGCTCTTGGGAGGTAATTAGGTCATGAAGGTGGAGCTCTCCTGAATGCGATGAGTGCCCTTCCAAGAAGACACCTGAGAGAGATGATCCCTCCACGACGTGAGGACACAACGAGAAGATGGCCATCTGTGAGCCAGGAAACAAGCCCTCACTGGACCTGCCAACGCCTTGACCTTGGTCTTCCCAGCCTCTAGAACTGTGAGAAATAAATGTTTGTTGTTTAAAGCATCAGTCATGGTGATTTGTTATAACAGCCTGGACTAAGAGTTATTATTGCTATTACGTAATAAATATGACTGAACTGTTTTTGAAGTGATTTGCATTTCTGGCAAAACATCATATTTTTTGAAACACTGACAGGTTGTCTTTCCCCAATGTCAAACAGGGGAAAACATTCATTGACCTGCCACAGGTGTGGATTTCTGACCTGTGACAACCCTCCCCCACCCCCCATCCGCCACACTCACTAGAAACCAAACAGGAGTATCTGCTGAAGGATTTCTGCCGAACGTACTAGGAGGGATGTGTACTAAATAGTAAACGGCGGGGGGGCGGGGGGGAGAAGCAAGGCACCCGGGAAGCAAGCAAATAAAGGCAGGTGTCTCCAGCACCCATCTGTGATGAGCCAACTGGCAGGGCATTTATACAGCAGGAAGCCTCAGATTTCTCGGGTCTTTGCTCCCGCAGCTGCGAAAGGCAAGACTCACAGTACTTGGTGTGACTCCCACCAGCACGAGGATGACCAACTCCTCCCTCTGTGCCTGGGACGCGTTTCCCGTTTTGGCACTGGAAGTTCCACATCGCAGAAACCCCTTAGTCTTGGGCAAACCGGGAAGGTCGGTCAGCCTAAGGTCCCAGCACTGGAGGGGCCGCTTGCACACAAGCCCCTGCAGCTCATGTCATTGATGTGAGCCAGTGCAGATGGGACAGCAGAAGGGACTGGAGGCGCTAGCGCTAGGCTGAGTCCTGAGAATGTTCCCTGAAGGAGGAGTCCCTGAGAAATGTGCACGGAGGCCCAGGGAAGCACGGCCAAGGTCAACTAGTACAGGGCAAGTGTGTGCAGATGTGGGCCCAGCGCTGGCGTGACACTCCCGGGCCTGTTCAAAGATTGGCATGTCTTGGAAACAACATTCCACTTTGCACGATTCTATAGGGGCAGAGGGAGAAAGTTCTTTTCTTTGGTAAAAGTTCTATATTCACCTGGCTTATTACATTGAAGGAATTATTGCATGTGCTGACTATCTGACTAAATTAAACACTTCATTGCCTTTCATTTCCCAGTCATCCATTTTTTAATGAATAACTGTATCCATTTATGCTAAGAATATATAGGCCCTATACATGGTGCTGGACTTAAAGTCCTCTAAAAGTATCTTTTAAATTCTTTTTTCTTTTTTTTTTTTAATCAGACCAAAAAATCACATTTATTTCAATAGTTCAAAGTGCAAATACAGCAAGTCAGTTCACAACATTTCAAGATACAGTTTTAAGTATAATGAAAACTTGATATACAAAATGAAAGGGTAAATAGCAGAAATAAAGCTCAGGGATCCCTGGGTGGCTCAATGGTTTAGCGCCGCCTTCAGCCCACAGCGTGATCCTGGAGACCCAGGATCGAATCCCACGTTGGGCTCCCTGTATGGAGCCTGCTTCTCTCTCTGCCTGTGTCTCTGCCTCTGTGTGTGTGTCTCTCTCATGAATAAATAAATAAAATCTTAAAAAAAAAAAAGAAAGCTCAATTTAAAAAAAAAATTCAAGTAACCCAAAAACCTTAAGACTAAAATATTCCATTTACGATAATTCGGAAATGCCTTAATTTATAGATACCAGTAGCACATTGCCATCCGAAAGGGCTTCTCAAAGGAGAATCATCCCAAACCTGTCAGCTCAGGACCAGAGTGGAAGTTCTTGGGGCGGGCTATTCCTGACTTGGCAGCCTCACTCTCACTGTCAATTGATATGGTTCCACCCGTGATACTTGGATGTTTAGGCAAATTCTAAAAAATGTTTAAAGTTCAATATGAGGTCAACACCCTGATAAGAGATACTGAAATGGCCACTATATATTTACAAGATTTTAAAGACCAGTCTTAGCTTCAGGCCTCTGGTGTTACCGGGGGAAAGACAGACTGATACTTCTTCCACTACTTAGAACCTTTCCGTAAGGTCAGCAACGTGGCCTTTACAACCTCCTCATGAAAATCATACTTCGTTATATATTTACTTATTTCCACACATACAGAACTTTTACGTAAAGTAGAAAAAGTTCCCACTAGGAAGATAATTAAAGGCTGTTAATGTTCTTTGTATCACTTAGCAGCCAAGACACATGTTTATTTCTGCTCCGCAGAAGCAATGTTAGCCACTCGCTTCAATTCAGGAAAGGCGTGTGCTTTCAGGATGGTGGAGAGGAGATATTTATTGCATCTTTTTCTCAATCTTCTTCATCTTTTCATTTAGGCAGTAAACTGAGAGTCTGTTCTGAAAATTCTATCCCACCATATAAATGTGGAAGCATATTTTTCCGATGACGTTCATGTGGTGGAAATCACATTATTTTTTTCTGATTGTATGTTGGTGCAGGTCTCCAATGTTTGCTTGTTCTCTTTTTGTCTGTTTTTTGTTGTTGTTGTTGTTTGTTTGTTTTTGCTTGTGTGGTTATATGTTTTGTGAGTCTTGAGCCAGGCATCGTCTTAAGACACATACTAAGGGTTTTAATTTTACATCATAATTGCATTAGCCGTTTCCGTGAACAGTAGTACTGCGTTTAGAACAGCAGCCCGGATGGCTCTGCAGTTTAGCGCCGCCTTCAGCCCAGGGCGTGACCTTGGAGACCCTGGATCAAGTCCCACATTAGGCTCCCTGCATGGAGCCTGCTTCTCCCTCTGCTTGTGTTTCTGCCTCTCTCTCTCTCTCTCTCTCTCTCTCTCTCTCTCTCTCTCGTGTGTGTGTGTGTGTGTGTCTCATGAATAAATAAATAAAATCTTAAAAAAAAAAAAAAAAAAGAACACAGCCCGCTCTGAGGACAGCAAGCACCTGCCGGCTGGCTGGTCCCTGGGGCCCCCTCCCGAGGGGGAAGCCCCGCACCCGCACGGTCTCCTTCTTTCCACGGGAGGGCGCTGTCTACCGTGGCGGGGATGGGGCTGTGGCGCCCCCTGAGCACTAGGGAGTCCTGCCTGGAAATTCGGACCCATGGCTGCCAGGTTTCCAGTTTGTTCTAGGGTCATTCCAGCTTCCCCACCCGTCCCGTCCGGCGCAGGCAGGGGCGCGGCGTGCCCTGGTCAAGCCTGAGACAAGCCCACTGGTGTCTGGGGTAGGGAAGGGGTGGGCAGCATCACATCCAAGGGAGGGAGGGAGCTGGACTGTGGAAGACTTCACAGACTTAATTTGATGTAAACCAGGCAGGACGGGGGCGCCTGGGTGGCTCAGTGGTGGAGCATCTCCCTTTGGCTCAGGGCGTGATCCCCGGGATCCAGTCCTGCATCGGGCTCCCTGCAGGGAGCCTGCTTCTCCCTCTGCCTGTGTCTCTCATGAATACATAAATAAAATATTTAAAAAGAAAAAAAGAACACCCAATTAGGACTAACTGCAGACTTTGTCAAAGGCAAACAGGCGAGGAAAACAGTATTGGTTCATCACACCCTTATTAAGCAGCCACTATGCGCATGACCTTTGGTGGCCCTGGGAACCAGGGATGCCCAGGGCCAGCCCCTGGAGGAGGAGCCCAGCCAGGACGGGTGGGGGTGCAGGCTTGTTCCCGCCGCAGGCTCCCCACCAGCCCTTCAGCTCAGACCCCTGCCAATGCAGAGCTTGCTGGGGCGCGGGCCGCCTGCCAGTCCCCTGGGGCACGGGCACACGGGAAGCACCTGGGGCCATCCATCCCTGCCCCTGCACACACCTCCTCTGAGCGGGTCCAAGCGCCTCTCCACGAGCGGCTCACCGCTAGGCCCTGCCCCTGCCTTTCACAGCACAAACTGGGCCGTGGGGGCTGCGGTGGGGAAGTGGCCCCAAGGGTGTTGGTGACACCCTGCAGGAGCAGAGCGGAGGCAGGGTGCAGGCTGGCAGGCACCGGGGGCTTCCACTGCTACTGGTGCTACTGGGCGGGGCCTCAGGGTGGCCTGACTGCAGCGCAGGGAAAGGTGGGGACATGGCCTAGCCTTCACCGTCCTGTCCTGCCCTCCTGCTGTCCTGCCGTCCTGCCGATGGGGCAGCAATAGGTCAAATGGAAGCAAATGGAGTGCAGATGGAGCTCGGGGCTGGGCCCCCCACCCTGCAGCCCACCCTGTCCCAGGCTCCCCCGTCAGTAACGCTTCCCCAGACTTGTCTTTGAGCTCATGGACAGAAGCCACAAGAACAACAAACTGACTTTAGACCTACATTTTATTACATCAGAAAGTAAATCAACCTTGAACTGTTAGTTTTGGATTTTATACAAAGAGATAATGCTGCCATCCACCCCCACCCCCCCACCCCCAGCTCCTGATCACGCGTGGTCTCTGCTGGTTTCAACCTTCCTGGGTAACCAGCTCCTATTCCTTTTTAAATGTGATACGCCCAGATGTCTTTTGTTAAATGTCATCTTCTCTGTTCACTTCTCAAAATTATACCGTATATTAGCGACTTGGAGTGGGAGGGCATCGTTTGCTCTCACGGTGATCAAATCACGGGCTGCAGGAGAGCACTGCTGTCACTCAGGGTTCCTGTCCCCAGGCACCCCGGCCCTTGTCCCCTTGGCTGGCACCGCCCTCCCTGGCCTCGGGGGTGGTCATGGAGCAGCACCCAGGGCCGAAGTGAGCTCCATGTGGACAGTTCAGGAAGATCTCTTTGCTTTTCTATGTTATAGGCTGTCAACAGGCATCAAAACAGAAATGCCTAAACTTCCTGAGGTCTTCTGGGGACAGCCCCTCTTCAGTTCTTTCTCATAATAGGGCTCAGATAATGAGTTCAAAGCAGGGCCAGGCGGGAGACAGAGCTCAGTGACAGACAATATTTTGTTGTTCCCTTTGACCAGGGAGGACGCTTCAGTACCAGGCAGGCCTTTCAGTCCTGGCTCTGCTCCGGGGAGGTGGGTTCTGCCCCAGAAGGGCCCCCACCTCTCCTCCACATGGTGTCCTGGTGTCTATCCCACCCGTCTTCGGACACACGGCAACACAGCCTAGGAGGAAACTGAGGCTCTGGAGCCACACAAAACCTACTAGCTATCTATGTAACTCTGTCCCATTTAATTTAAGAGAGGAAGCTCCAACTTTTAGAAACCATGGGGCATTTATATTGGAAAAGAAAAATCGAAAAATCAAAGAAAAATCAATGCATGTTGATGAAGTGGCCAACTTTAGTACTTATGCAAATCACACTGGCATACAACAGAATCAATACATTCATGATCCATGTGTTCACAGAAAGAAAATTTTAAATGCCAATTTTAGGATAAGGTCGAGGAAGAAACAGATGTTTAAAAGAGAAACTATGTTTTTTCTTTCATGTTGTCCCTTATCTGTGCTGCCAGGGTATGACTCTAGGTAATCTTATAAATGCCAACACCTGCACTGTTTTCTGGGGCACCCCAGGCCTCTGGTTGGGGCAACCCAGTGCCATGGAATAAAATGGGGACCATGGCCATGTGGAGTAGTGGGCAGAGGACAAGACATGGACCCCAGTCAGAATTCTACCTCCACTGTTTGTCTTCTATGCAAATCCCTACACAGAATTTGCATTGAAAGATAGACATAAAAGACAGAGAGAAGACAAGTTAGACCATGGGGATTCCAGATTGAATTTTTCTCTTGGTCTGTATTTGATCTATTATTTTACTTATTTAAGTATTTTTATTTTTTTTATCTCAATAGCCATTCTTTTCAGTTAAGAATTTCTATTTGATTGTTATATCTGCCTCTTCCCATCCCTACCCCATCCCTTGCTTTCTGTTTTTTTTTTTTTTTCTTTCTTTCTGGTTTTAATGAGTAACATGACTAGAATTCACTTACTGGTTGGACAGGCAGCTAGCAGAATTTGGAGGAAAGTCTAAGAAAGTCTAAGAAAGGCCTTGGAAAAAGGCTGCCCTCTGGAAGGTCAGCTGAGCATGGCACTGCCCTTAAAGGAGTCCATGTGAGCCCCTCGGGAACAGGCACTCCACGTTTACAAGGGTTCTAACCATTCCCTAAACACAGCCCACCGTCTCTACCTCTTGACTTGGCCAATACACTTCTTCCAACCAGACAGCCATACCCTCATTTCTACCTGCCTGAAACCTGTCCTTCCTTTCAGGGTCAAACTCAAAATGTGTCCTCAACCATGACTCCCTCTTTCCTCTCCCCTGCCCACACTCAGCTGGGAACGAGTCTCCCCTTCTCCTGTGAATGCTGATTGCACTGGATTCCTCTTATGCACCACTTACGGTTAATAGGGCCGGCTACATGATTTCCTGGCTCGATGCAAGGTGAAGGCACAGGGCTCCCTGTTCAAAACTGACTAAGAATTTTCAGGATGGCTACTGCAGAGCGTTACATCAAGTGCAGGGCCCTTCAAAGTGCGAAGCCCCACACCACTGCACGGGATACTCACCCAGCTAGCTGGCCAGATGACTACACTGGGACACTCTGGGGAAACTGTGATGCCCACTTGACAAATGTGATTGGTTAAATGGCTATTCAAGTCCCCTCCTAGGGAACCTCCTGAGCTGCCCGCCCTGCCTGAGCTGAGTTTGGCTCCCCAGCATCTACATGTCTGGCACTCCACCTCTCTAGCACTTAGTTGAGGGCACTGCTCCCTGAGCCCCCAGCCACTCAGCCTTAGGCTTATTGCCCCTTGTCCTTAGGTCCTGCCTTGTTGATTTTTCTGGATTGGCCACTAGCACCAGGAACAGAGAAGAATCCATTGGTTGTTTTCCACAACACCACTACATCTCCCTTTGTCTTTCTGTTCCTTCCTGTTGCCAGATGTTGCCAACACATGATTCTCTCTGCCAGCATGCTGGTGCAAAAAATGCAGTCACACTCTCCACCTGTTCTATTTCTCTCTTGTGACTAAGTGGTAATATAGATACTTAACTGATGCAGGAATATTAAGTGTACTATCTCATTTAATGCAAGATCAAATCTTAGCAAGATCAAATCATTCGAAGTATGTGTTGCTATTATTGTGCCTTTTTACAGATGAATGAACTAACTCAGAGAGGTTAAGGAATTTGCCAAAGATGATAAAAATAAGGAGTGCTTAGTCTTAGTAACTGGGCTATGCTGCCTCTGTATAGGCTAATTGAAGGCAGAGACCATATCTTGGTCTTGTTGTATTCCCCCACAGGACCACTTTTTGCATTCAGTGCCACTGTGCCATTGGGTTTATTAAGAGCCCCCATCTATTGATAGTTCACTGTGTACTGCCCAAGGCTGAGAATTTGCAAACATTCTCATTAAATCCTTCCCACATCCCTACTAGTCAGGCTTTACTGACTATATTTCACAGATAAAGAAGCTAAGGCTTAGCAAGATCAAATCTCTAGTTAGGTCACACAGCTAGTAAATCATGGCACCAGGGTCAGTCCTTTCTTTAAATGTAGGCTTCCAAACTGTGGGAGGAGCCTTGGTGCCCATCGACAGATGAATGGATAAAGATGTGGTCTATGTATGCAATGTAATATTACTCAGCCATTAGAAACAACGAATACCCACCATTTGCTTCGACGTGGATGGAACTGGAGGGTATTATGGTGAGTGAAATAAGTCAATCGGAGAAGGACAAACATTATATGGTCTCATTCATATGGGGAATATAAAAAACAGTGAAAGGGAATAAGGGAAAAGGAGAAAAAATGAGTGGGAAATATCAGAGAGGGAGGCAGAACATGAGAGACTCCTAACTCTGGGAAACTAGGGCTAGTGGAAGGGGAGATGGGCGGGGGATTGGGGTGACTGGGTGACAGGCACTGAGGGGGGCACTTGATGATGGTATGAGCACTGGGTGATATGCTATATGTTGGCAAATTGAACTCCAATAAAAAATAAAAATAAATATAGGTTTCCTAATCAAGCTACACTGCTCCCATGTCTTCCCTGTCCCTGCCCCACCCCAGCCAATCTGGCCCCTCTCCATCTTACTCAGTTTTACCTTCTTGCTAGTATCCATCCTCACACTGCCTTAGCCTCCATTAGAATCTGAGTCCCGGAGGCTCAATTGTTGCTTAACCTGCTGAATGATTTGGCTGCGTGTTGCACAACCCAACATAGAAAGAGAAAGTTGCCCACATTACCTTCCCTGGCCCTATGATTGGCACTTTCTATGTTTCAAATTGTGGCCTTCTAATGTTCTAACAAGAGCACCAGAAGCAGTGATGTTCCATATCACTACATGACTTCTAGAGATCAGATATCAAGTAGTGAAGACCTGCTATCAACGGAGAGCTTTGTCAGATTCAAGATGAATGGAAACTTCTTCCACTCTGACAGGTCTCCCGCTAACTAGCCTCATAGATTTTCCCTCTCAACTTTCAAGAAGTCCAATCAAAGCAATCTACGGAAAATAATGGCCTCTCTGCTTCTTGGTCTCATTGTAACTCTGGTTGAAAGTCCAGATAAGCCCCTAGAAACCAGGATAAATCCTCCTACTATCCTGAGTGGCAAGCGGCCTATCTCCTCACCTAGGAGTTGCTGAATTATCCTTCACCTGTGCACACAGGTGCATGAACAAGTCCACCTCCACTCAGATCCCTATGAAATTCACTTCACCCCCAATCATAGGATGATTCATCCTATTTTTAACCACTGGTGCCAGACTTCCCTATTCAATAAGGTGATGAGGTCTCAAAACTGAGAAGTACATGATAAAGAGATGATGAAGATCAGAAAAGGGTAGCAGGATACAACGTGGATGTATCTAAATACCTAAAACCCAACATACAGACCAGAGAATTGACTTTTAGCCTATGTAGGTCCTGAAGGGAGAATCTGGGTCCATTGGTGAGGTTACAAGGTAGGCAGGTGTTGACTCAATATGAAGGAAAAGCCTCCTGGAAACTAGAGTGATTCCACAATAGGATGGACTGCCAGTGTGGTGGAGAGATTCTTGTATCTAAATGTCCTCAACCAGACACCACACACTGAAGGGTGCCTCTGAGCTGAGTGGGAACCTGCCCTAGGACCTCTTGGTCAGTGGTCATGGATAAGGGGCACAATCTGTGCTAGGCAGGAGGCAGGTGCTGGGAATATGAGATTAAAAGTGACAAAGACATTGCTATAGTGTAAGAACCCTTCCAACTCAGGGATTGCATTCCTCAGGATTTAACACAGGCCAAGGGCAGGAATAGCTTACACTTCTCTCATGTGTTCATAATAACCAACATAGTGCTGTAGAGCCTGACCCAGTGGTGACCATCTGAGGACAAGAACTGTACCTCCCATCTGTGCATCCTTAGCACCTAGCACAACATAGGTGTCCAAGAAATAGCTTTGAAGTTAATGAATGTGTGTCCAGAGAATACTCAATTCAAGGCAATAAATGGATCTACAGAATCTAAGATATTCATTCGCTGTTGAGAGGAGCCATTCCAACCCCAGGGATCTACATGATAGATAAAGAAGTGCCCCCATTTTCTAAGGTGCAATGAGTTACTTGACTCCAGTGGCCTCCCTAGAATCATTTGACCCTCCAGTGGTAAAGCACAGCTCTTCTGAACATCTCCATGTTCAAGAGCCCCAGAAAGCACAGCAGAGGCCTCATTAGAAGATGATCATTTCGCCTCTCATCTTGCTTCTTGTCTGAAAGTACTACTCACCTTGTTTTGAAGATCTCAAAAGGTGATGACAGAAACCAGTAGAAGAGATGGATGTGATTTTCTGCATTGACCTGCATCCCCCTGGAAAACATTTAACCAGAAATAATGTAATAACTTACCTTTTATTTACCTTCTAAGCCTGAAGTCAAGATAATTTCAACACCAGCTGAGTCATCACTAAAGTCAATAGGTCAAAGTCTCTTCTGCAAAACTGATTTCCAGATATTTTCCACTGACTGAAATTATGAGAATAAACTAATTTATTCTTTTCATTGTTAACCAAAACCAATACATTTTTCTTTTTTTTTTCACATTTCTTAAACTACAACACACAGCCGTGTTTTCTATTATTAAGAATAACGAGTTGCTCACTTATAGGCAACACACACCAGTCAACCTTCTTGGCTTTCTTTGGTTTGGGGTTAATAGGAAAAAAAATGATTGAGCTAAACCCAGGCTTCATCAGTGTCTGATGTGGTCAAGTTGCAAAAACCTCTCTGAGCCCTTGTGTCTTCCTGTAAAGAAGGAAAAGATGAGAATAGAATAGGTCTCATGAAGTTATGACAATAAAAGCACAATGCTTTCCACAGAAAAAGGAGTCCCTAACATTATTTTTAGTGAAGATGATATTTTCCTGAGGAGGAGTTATTCCAGCCTCAGAAAGCCCAATCTCCCCAACTTTTCTTTGACAGTGGTTAACTCTGTCTTTTGTGAGACAGGGAGTTTGCATGGGTGTCAAGGCCACAGTGAACAGTAAGAATATAGGAAGTCTTCCTTCAAACAAAAGAGAATGGAAGGTTCCCCGGGTTTCTTTTGTGATAATGAAAAGCTTACCCCAAGGATTACTGTGTTCTTGAGGCGGACTTCACACATAGCATCACCACCCTGAGTGATAAAAGAACTTTCCCTGAAACAGTAGGAAGATGTGATGAAGTGCAAACTTTTCTTTCTGTGCTGGGTTGAAATCATGCCCCTTCCCCAGTGCTGGGTCTAAAGTGTGAACAGGAGAGGCCTAGGGTATAAAATGCAAAGAGATGCAACCCTGAGGATGAGCACCTCCTTAAATTGTGCACCTTCACCCTCTCCTTTGCCTCACCCTAATCCAGGCCCTACTCTTTCCCCATTGATCCCCTCAGATGCCCTTTCTTTTCAGGGTTTAGATCTACAGAGCCAGGTCGTGGTTTTGTAGGCAGGATTGGGGGAAAGCTTTTAGAATCCTTTCTCCACCCAAAGAAAGGGAGTAGGTAATCACTGCTGGTCTCTACGATTTAATAAATTATGCCATGCTGTACTTAGGCCCACATCCTCCAATTTCGATGGGCTGGCACCAAGTACAAAGGGCTTTTCCAAATCACTCCCAGGGCAACTGGGCTAAGTTACCTTCACAAAAACCCTGATGGGTCCTTGGACAGGGGTAATTTGCATTCCACCGATGTTTTACATTGAAGAAATAAATTCCAGTCTGTCTCCACAAGACAAACGTTATGATACTTTTGTATAATAATTTATACTTCTTGGCTGATCAGACGTTACCGGGCCACATGAGTCAAGGTGAGCTCCTTTAGGGCAGATTGTGTCTTCTCGTCACTCTGCATCCAGGCACCTGATATCACAGATAGTGGGTGTTCGATAAACATTTGTTCAATTGCCCATATGAATGAAGAAACACCAGGCTTATCAGAAACTAATGCTCGGCCTCTCAGGGCCTAGGCTCTTTAAGTATCAAAAAGGGCAGAGCCAGAAATCCAGCCCAGCGATTAAAGCACCAACCACTGTCACCTCCTCCCCTCGAAAACCAATTGTCCCTCTGGCTTCTGCTGACGTACACTTGTCATGCTCTGCTTTGTGAGAGGCTGAGTTTCTGCCTCTCACCTCAGATCTCAAAGCTTGACTTGGTATTGCACCCCTTTCTAGCTCTACCCTTCACCTCTAAGAATCGTGTCTGCCTGCAGGGCCCAGACACAACCAGCCCCCAGGAACTGACCTCAGCTTGCCGTGATCCTTCTTGTCTTGGCTTCTGGTTGGTAATTATAAATGCGGAATCTGCCTTGGAATATCTCAGATGCATCGCTGCCCTGGTGGAGAGCCCTACTGACCACTTCAGAGGACCTGGAGCCATGCTAGCTGCCATCTTGAGAACCCCGCCACCAGCTGCATGGGGACTCCACCCAGCAAGCTCTGCCCAGCGCTCTGCTGCCACGTCCTGCAGGTTGTTGACCCTCTTCTGGCCCTTAGGCCCTTGGGCCTGTTCTTCTTGCTTTAACAAACCTCCGATAACCTCAATACTCTGAGATGCAGTGTAAATGTTAAGAATATTGTTTTAGTACAGTGATGTGGGCCTCACAGATAAGTGCACAGATGAGTAATTAAAATAGTGAGACTGATGACCAGAAAATGGAGTAAACGCCCATCCCCTACTGGCATGCAAAGAAATGGGAGCCAGGTGAGTGAAACTAACCCAAGGTCACCGATAAGTGCATGCATTTAGCATATGAAAATCTTCCCAAGGTTGAAATTGGTGCCAACAGGCACAGTAAGTACCTGTAGCCTCCCTTTGACACCCTTTGCTATAAGTCTCTTGGAAAACATACCAAAACATCGTCTCTTTTCTTCTTCATTGTCAGTAGGTAAATGATGACATTTATATCTAAGGAAACTGAAAAAAAAAATTCAAGGGACAATTTTATTCAGCTTGGCTCTAAAGGTATTTCAGTTTGTAAGTATTAGACATATGGAATAGTCGAGATATAACCACAGATAGTCATAAAATACATTTAAAAAGAGTTCTGATGATTTTCCCATATCTGAATTCTCACAAAAGTCAGAATGGAAACAGTAGCAGAAGAAAAGAGAGAATACTCAAGCTGACCTACACCGGTTGAATGGTAGAGACATAAATCAGCATAGTCTTCCCCATAGACAATTTGGCCAGAAAAACTGAGAGCTTTAAACATTTCCAAACTATTAGTGAATCACTGATTTCACTAGAAAGAATCATTCTTGCAAAAAGAACTAGAAAGCCAAAGATTTTTAAATACAAAAGTTCATTGCTGCTCATACACGACAATGATCAGCTGAGAACAAGCTAAATGCCCGATAGTAAGCAAGTGGTTACATACATTATGACACACGCGAGAGAATCACAGGCAGTCATTATGTTCTCTACGTCCGTTTAATGACGTGGGAATATACTCATGTTACAATGTTAAATGAAAAAAGAAGACAAAGTTGTGTATGCAGTATGGTCTAAATTATATTATACATAAAATAATTCTTTGTATAGAAAAAAACACCCAAGATGGAGATAACATCTGTATGACAAACCACTGGCACTGTTCAAAAAGAAGGAAAGAAAAAGAGACATTGGCACTGTTGACCTCTGGGTAATGAGATTGTGGATGAGTTTTGACAGGATGATAGATGAGGTATCAATTGCTCTTTTACCACAGGCTTTGTTTTTCTAGCATCAGTGAAACAAAACAATACCTCGTGCTTCAGAAATTGTCACCGATGGAAGATCTAAGAACGAAGATGCCAAAAGAAGTGCTCCAAGTGCAAGAAAAGATGATCAAAACGAATGATCCAACAGGACTTTTTTCCTACCCACCCCCCTCTGCACCGTGAGGCGGGGATGGCTGCAGAATCACCCCCAGAAGAGTTTGAGAATCCCAAGGCATAGGAAACCCGAACCTCCCTTCAGGCGTGGGGGGCAGGAGGGGGCTCATGGGCAGCACAGGGAGACATCACATCATAGGGAAAAGTCTCCTGCAAAGCGGGATGGCACCAGAGCAGTGGCAGAGCCATCACGACTGCAGTGTCTGGGCAGATGGGCTTAGATGCAGCTTCATGAAGCCCCCCATACCCGGGGTGGACAAAATAGCCAAGTTTCCCCAAGCTTAACCAAGAGGGCAGTGCTTAGCTAAGAAAAAGGCCTTTGGTCTAGAAAGGGTCCCAGAGCTGAGACAAAGGGACCCCTGATCAGAGGATGCAGGAGGGATGTCTTGCTACGGACCAAATGGGGGCAGGCAGGATCTTAGCTTGTGGGTGGACATGCAGGTGGGTGCACCTGGGCGCCAGAGGAGATGGGTTACCCGGCAGAAGGGGCCAGTGCACACCCTAGCTGCAAAGGCAGACATCAGTCTCTGCCCTACTATAAAGGAAAGTGGTATTTGCGGAAGTCTTCCCCTCCCCACTCAGGCTTCCTTCTAACCCCAGGGGGGCAGAAGAAGCATAAGGGGCAAACCTAAATGGGACTGGATTGCAATGAAGCACCTGGGAAATCAGGTTACCTATAAGTGACTAGATTAAATTTCACAAAAGAGGGCTCAGACTCATGTGTGTGTGGCCAATAAAGTAGTATTTTGTACACCTGAGCTTATGACATATGAAGTGTGTACTCACTGCACACATTTTCGTGACTTTTCAAATTTTTAGTAATGACCATATTTTGTATCTTAAAACATTATTTAAAAGAAAAGCATTGCATCCACACAAAGTTGCATAAGAGGGGTGGGAAGTCACCCTTGGTCCTGAGGATCATATTGCTAGATGACCAGAGCTTGTTGTGGGTCCCTAAGAGCAAGGACTTCACTCTCAGAGAGAACCTGGAATCCCGACCACAGCTTCTGAGCCTCTGTCATTAAGATTCCATGGGATCAGGGCACCTGGGTGGGTCAGGGGTTGAGCATCTGCCTTTGGTTCAGGTCGTGATCCAGGGTCCTGGGATGGAGCCCCGCATCAAAATCCTCGTGGGGAGCCTGCATCTCCCTCTGCTATGCCTCTGCCTCTCTCTGTGTCTCTTGTGAATAAATAAAATCTTAAAAATAAAAAAAAAGATTCCATAGGACCATATGAGCACCTGGGCATAACTAGGAAAATACCCTTACATCTACCTTCTTGGCCCTATATCTCACTTCACCCTTGCTTACCTTTCAACTCCCAGCAGATCCATATGATTAAGTTTCCTTGTAGAAAGTGTCTCCTTTTTAAAGATGAAATGTCATTCTCAATATCAGAGAACATAACAGATCCATCCACACACAGTGGTGAACTCTAAATATTTGAAGAACATGTGGGATCTTCGTGTTAGGGCTTCTTTGCTCTGGGCTAAACCAAGCCATGTCTTTCTATGATTTTTTCCAAGCCTCTCACTGTCCTGCCCACCCTCCTGTAGGTCACTCCAGGGTTTGTCAAGAGCCACTTACAAGCACTGCCTGGAACCAACACCATGACCCTGTGCTCTGGCCATCAAGACTCACTCTAATTCTGCTAAGGCTGTGAAGGGCATTATAGAGGCATTTATATTCTTAGCTGCCCCCAAAGCATCTCAGCCTGCAGTGAAGGCCTCAAACCCAGAGCTTTGCCAGAGGAGTGGCTGTTGGACTGGGGCTCCCCTTTGTGGCACTTGTGCACTGGCTGGGGGCCCCAGTTACACCCAGCCACCCAGGAGACCCAGGTCAGTGCCCATCTGTGCAAGGCCTTGGCAATGTGGTCTGAGGGGGTAGAGAGCCCCACCCAGCCCTGCCACAGGAAGCCCCTTCTCTCACCCCTGTTCCACACTGCAGGCAGTAATCTCTCCCTTCCTTCCCTCTTTTCTTCAAGGCTCTTACCCAAGACCTTAGCACCTCCCATAACTCTTCCTGGTCACTCTAGATCATCTCCATCTTTGCTACAGCTCTAAGCCTTGTTTTCCCTCCAGGAGGAGATCATTCTTGCTGACATTAGAGGATTTTATCACATTGCTGCCTATCCCCACTTTCCCCTCACAGCCACCCACCACCCCCACCCTCCCCCCTTCCACATGCTCTGCTCCAGTAGGGGGTGCTCCCTCTGCTGCTGAACTCAGAGCACAATGGGGCTGGTGGTGCGGGCCCCTCCTCGCCATGGTGCAAATCTCATCTCTTCCATGTTCCAAGCCGACTTTGGAGCATCTCCACCCCCTTCCGCCCACCCCCAGCAGCATTGACTTTGGCAGATTTCTTGGGGACCAGTGATGTCCTAACCTGTTTGCTTTTCCAGAGCTGATGTTTGCAGGGGTTTACTTGGAACCAGAACAGAAATCATCCCACGTCCTTATGCAATTCCTCCAGCGGGCTCCGGCAGATAAATAAAGCCCTCGGCCCTCCATCGGCCTACTTTTTGGAGCAAGAGCACCTGGGCTTGTCCTGAAGCTTCCAGCCATCTGCCTACCTGCTAGGGCCTCTCTGGAGCAGCCATGAAGTCCCTCGCCCTGTTCCTTTGCCTTGCTCAGCTCTGGGGCTGCCATTCTGTCCCAGTGGGGCCAGCTCTGGTTTATAGGGAACTGGACTGTGATGACCCAGAAACAGAGCAAGCAGCCCTGGTGGCTGTGGACTACATCAATAACCATGTTCTTCGAGGCTACAAGCACACCTTGAACCAGATTGACAAAGTGAAGGTGTGGCCTCGGGTAAGTGAACCTGCTGGGTATGAGCTGAGAAAACCTGTGTGTGGAGCTCAACTGCATGTCTCAAAGATCACATCTCTGAGCACAATGAAACTGCAGGGGGAGCCAAATTCTCTGGTTTCTTCCCAAGAGTGAGGGAGGGGGCAAGTGGGGAAACAAAGAGGCATTCTGGGCTGTAGTCCTGGATCTCCAGAGGGTGCTGGATGGGGGCGGGGAGGTGTGTGAGACAAGAAAAGTCTTCAAATGACACTGAACATTACAGGGAGAAAGTGGAGTTTGCTAGAAAAACTATATGCACAAAATACAGGATTCTAGTTGACTGGAAATCACTTCTCTCTCTTTGCTTTCTCTGGATGGAGACTGAGAATGAATGAAACTAGCATTTGACAATCATCTACTAGGTGGCCAGGCCCCTCCACATACACCATCTCCTTACCTCTCCTGTCCCCCAGTCCCATGGGCTGTGTATGGACCTTGCCTTACATGAGGGGAAACCAAGCCTCTGACATATTAGGGCGTTTTGTTGTTGTTCAGGATCATATAATCTGGAAGCATCCAGCTGGGATTTGATTCTAGAACCATGCTCTTTCCTCTACACAAGTTACCTCCCAAAGACAGGTACCCACCTCCCAGAAGGAAATGTCGAACCAATGGGGTTTACCTCTTCATATACTAGACAAGTAACCAGTATAGTCTGAAGCCAGTGATAATAAAGATTAAGCTGGGAAATATGCCTTGGGGTCAGCTGAGAGATTTGGAGCAGTGGGGAAAAGGTGTATGTCTACTGTCTATTTTGAAATTAGATTTTATATCCGAGGAGAGTTAATTCTTTCAGCAAACATTGATTTTAAACCTTCCATGAGTAAGAACCATGGCAGGTGCCATGAGATATTAAGTGGAACCCTAGAAAATTGCTCTTTTTGTATATTAAAAGCAGTCAAATATTGGCATTTTAATGGTTCAACCTAACACAAAAGTGAGAAAGACACAGTGCCCACAAGAAATTTACAGTCCAGGGATCCCTGGGTGGCGCAGCGGTTTGGCGCCTGCCTTTGGCCCAGGGCGCGATCCTGGAGACCCGGGATCGAATCCCACATCAGGCTCCCGGTGCATGGAGCCTGCTTCTCCCTCTGCCTGTGTCTCTGCCTCTCTCTCTCTCTCTCTCTCTCTCTCTCTGCGACTATCATAAATAAATAAATTTTTTTTTAAAAAAAGAAATTTACAGTCCAGAGGGGAGGATAGGCAGAATGTCTGCCCTAACACCTGATCTCACAATGGGACAAAATATTTGAAATCAGGATGCATTTTAGGATTGCTGCAACCATACTGTAGCACAGTGGGGGTTTGGAGGAAACACCAATGACTTCAGGGGGAAAACAAACACACGACATGTATATTCGAGGGAAAGTAATGAACGGACATTGCAATTTTCACTAACGGCAGAGCTTGAGAGGGGCTTCGCTAGAGCAACCAGAGAGCACCAGGCTCCTGTTCACTGCAGCCCTGCGTGTTGTCAAGGAAGTTCAACTTGGGCATGTCTGCACATCATAAAACACAGCTTCCTCCCGGAGAGGAGGTTTGGATACTAGTGACTCAGCCAGAACCCATGTGAGAGGCAAGCAGAGCTGAACTAAAATTTTTTAAAAAGCATACTTGTACTTTCTGGATTTTCCAGGGTTTGGAGAAAGGATGCAGAAACAGACGAAACGCCAGGAACAGCTACAAGGACTTACCAAGCTGCCCCAGCTCTCTCTGCCTTCCCTGCTACTCCTTCCGAGTTTCCTAGGGGTCAGAGGGCGGCTCGCTGTGCCCCCTCATCCCCAGCAGGGGACAGTAGAGAGCAGCACCTTGGCGCCCAGGCCTCAACAATCCCCAGAACAAAAAGCCAAGGACAACTTTTCCTTTAGGAAGGAAAGGAAAAATGGGGCAGAGGGGGAAGTTGATGGTGAGAGGGAAGGCAGAAAGAAGTAGAGGGAGGAGAGAGGGATGGAGAAGAGAAAGAGGAGACAGTAAGGTATTAGCCTACGCCACCTTACTTTGCCACTTGATTGAAAAAAAATTCCAAAGCTGATTTTTGCAAAGCATCGCTTGAAGGGTGAAATTTTAAAAATTAAATAAGTATCAATGCTCAGTTTTAGCTTCCAAAGAGAGCTCAGAATGATGACTGTGGTTCCAGCAACCTGCCCAAGCCCATGGTCCCTTCCTCCTTGCAAACACCATCTAGAGCCTGCCCAGCCAACAGGGAGGACCTGAGAAGCCCTGGCTGTCGTCCTGTCCACAGGCCAGGGCAGCACTGGGTGGAGGTGCCGACTAACAGGAGTGACTTCCCCCCCACCTGTCCAACAGAGCTGACTTCAAGCCCAATGGGGGCTCGTACTTTGGCTCACTCCATGGGATCAGAGGAATAGGCTGCTCACGGCTTCATTCTGTGTCTCCACAGCGGCCAATGGGAGAGGTGTTTGAGCTCGAAATAGACACCCTGGAAACCACCTGCCATGTACTGGACCCCACGCCCCTGGCCAACTGCACCGTGAGGCCGCAGATGCAGCATGTGAGTGCCCCTCTTCGGGTGACTGTGGATGGTGCCCCAGCCATCCAGGGTCCCCGGTGGTTCTGCAAAGTGCAGACCCGTCTCACCCAGCTTCCCAGCCCGTCTTCATGGCTAGCCAGTGTGAGGCTGCTAGAATTACTGTTTGAGGCTGCCTTCCCTCGGGCTGGTTTTTACAGCAGTTCAACCTTCTTGTTGTGGCCCTTTCCGAAACCAGGGAGCATCATGTTTCAATACCACTCAGTCAAGGTGACTTCATGAGGCTTGTCTTGGACAACCACGTCTGAGGAACCCCCCACCCACCACCCCCAGGGCTCCCAGCCACAAAGGAAAGGCCAGCCCTCCTCCTGAGCCCTCACCATGGGTTTATTTCTCCAGGCTGTGGAAGGGGACTGTGATTTCCGGCTGCTGAAACAGGATGGCCAGTTTACCGTGTTATTTGCAAAATGCGATTCCAGCCCAGGTAGAGATGATGATGAGTTTTTCTTATTTGTACCTTGCGGAGAGAGTGGGGAAGGGGCCTGAATTGTTTTCAACGTAAGCAAGTTTTAGCCACTTTGTTGGTGGGGAAAAGAAGGAGTCCGATTTCCTGGGAGCTGGCATTGTGAACCTGTTCTTTTTAAGGAACGGTTGTCATTGGAGGTGAAAATTGCCCTTGTTGAGAGGGGCTCCTGCACTAAAGTCAGCAGGGCGGGAGCCACCTGAAGATTTAGTGAGCAGCAGAGAAAGCACCTGGAGCCTTTTGGAGCCTGTCCCAGGCCTTTCAAAATAAGCAGGGCGTGGGGAGAATGCCCCCGGAGAACAGAAGGACAACCCAGATTTGGTTCTCCTGTGTGCGTAGACTCAGCCGAGGACGTGCGCAAGGTGTGCCCACAGTGTCCCCTGCTGGCGCCGCTGAACGACACCAGGGTGGTGCACGCCGTGGACGCTGCGCTGACCGCCTTCAACGCTCAGAGCAACGGCTCCTATTTTCGGCTTGTGGAAGTCTCCAGGGCTCAACTGACGGTAGGGCTGAGACCTCGGGACAGACCTCTGGGCAGCTTGGTGGCACCTGGGGAATGTGGGCGCTAAAACAGCTGGGAGGGACACAGCAGGTGCAGGGGCAGCGGGTGGTGGGAGACCGGGGAAAGATAGGATCCGTAGGGGTATGAGGGTGTGAGGACACCGGGGGTCACCAGGGTCCCAGGAACTGTCAGCCTGTCACCCGTGCGGAGCCACCCTACAGCATTGGTCACCCCCGTGGGGCTGGGTTATGCTGGGCCTTCCTCCGCGGTGTCACCCTAACATGAAAGAGCCTGCCTCTGCCTGGCCTGGCTCTCTCAGGCCTAGTTGGCTTGCGGTGCAGTGGGGACCGTCCCTGCGTTATCCAGAAGCACTCGCTATACATCCACGGGGTTCCAAGTCCTTACCCCACAGCATTGATGCGGATCCTCAGTAACTGATACTTACTGAGGTGGGAGCCTGCTTACACAAGTGGGCGTGTAGCAGCAAGGTCCTAAAGGGCCTCCTGAGCTGTTGAAAAAAAAAATCTCATTGTACAGTGGATTATTTAGCACATTTGACTGCAACAGAATTCTAATATTTAAGAAAATTGGTCTTCTGGATGCCAGGATGGCATCCTTGGAAATGCATTCTAGGTGTAGGTGGTGATTCTAATTAACCGGAATACATGATTCTCAGAAACCCCCACCCCAGACTACGCCAAATGGCACTGGTTATGTTATTATACCAAATACAACATTTGTAATATGTATTATGCCAAAGGCAACATTACTGTTGTAAGCATCAACATGAATGGTGATTCTAATTAACCAGAATACATGATTCTCAGAAACCCTCACCCCAGACTCTGCCAAATAACATTGGTTATGTTATTATACCAAACACAACATTTGTAACAGGTATTATACCAAACACAACATTATCGTTGTAAGCACCCATACAGTACAAGAGAGAAAAGCACAGGAGTCTTCTCTCCTTTTCTTTAGATTTTCCATTGGATCATGCTCTATATGATAGGATAGGTGGGAGAGGTGTTCATCTCCACTTTCCCGCCCCATCGTGGAGTAACCTGAACTTTAGGACTCCAAGTGCAGCCCCTAGAGGGAAGGCTGTGAATCACTGTATTGTACTAAAACTAATATATTGAACCTGAAATTAATATTAAGGTGGGCCCTCTGGGTTCCTGCTTCCTCTCTGAAAGCTCAGCTCTGCCCTGAATGATGGGCAGTGGATACCTGTACCTCCTTCACCTCTGTATACACGGGCTTCGGAACACAGTGCCACAATGACTGACCTGTGGCAGCCACTGGGGCTGTGTTTCCTGGCTGCTCAGAGTGGTCCATACGAGTGGCACTCCCTGGAGCGTGCAGCATTGGTGCCCTCGCTGCTGCCTTCCAGCCTCAGCTTCCCTGCCTTTTCAGGTCAAGTCATGTTGCCTCATAAACATTTTCATGTATTCTCCTCAGCCTCTTCCACCTTCCACATATGTGGAGTTTGCAGTGGCTGCCACAGACTGTGTTGCTGCAGAGGTCACAGATCCAGCCAAGTGCAACCTGCTGGCAGAAAAGGTGAGCAGGCCAAGCCATGGAGATGGCAAAACCGGCTGTAGAACAGGGCGTTCTTAGAGCTAGTGTCTTGGGGCCGTGGAAGACAGATGACAGTGAAAAATACTCCCTCCCCGTGGGGCTGGGTTATGCTGGGCCTTCCTTGGTGGTGTCACCTCCTCGCTTAGGAACTGTCACCAAGTCATCTCCCCCACTGGGCGTCCATGGAGTCAGGAGAGAGATAGAGGCTGTTTCCTCACTAGGCCAAGTCATATCCGGTTGCCAGAAGCGTGTTGTAGATTTTCTAGGTACACCTCCAATATGAAATCTTTTAAGTCCCTTGATGCTGTAATGTCCACTTCTAGGGATTTAGCCTAAAGAGATCATCAGAGATGTTTGACAGAAATGTATCTAATAAGATGATTTATTATTGATTCAAAATGACCCAAAAGAGACCCGAATGTCCAACAGGAGGGGGTCATTGGATAAAATAGAAAATTATACAGACCCTAAAAATTAAGTTTTGAAAGAAAAATGAGTGATATAAGAAAATGTTATATTACAGTGAGTGAAAAACACAGGATACAAAATGAAATAGTCACCATGATCCCGATTTCTAAATGATTTTTAATATATTTTTTTTAAAAAAGAATACATGTATGTTAACAGAAGTTCTCCTGGGTCACCACAATTTCTGCGATGATGGGTGATATCTCTCTCTCTCTCTCTCTCTCTCTCTCTCTCTCTCTGTCTCTCTCTCTGAGAGAGAACACAAGCAGAAAGAGCAGAAGGAGAGGGAGAGAATCTGAATCTTGAGCAGACCCCTCACTGAGCTTGGAGTCTAATGAGGGGCTCAACCTCATGACCCTGAGATCACAACCTGAGCCAAAACCCAGAGTCTGCCACTTAACCAACTGTGCCACCCAGGCGCCTCTTATGGGTGATCTCTTAGAATCTCAAAGCATATCTGTATTTTTCTACCTTCTATTTAGAATTATATACATTGCATATCTTCTACAAGCAGAAACTAGAAACTTTAGGGGAAAAATTTAGGGAATTAAGAATTTAAGTTTTTTCCTTTGACTTGGAGTGTCAGTGAAACTGGGGGAGAGAATCCACTTTTGAAACCAGTTCAGATAACTCTTCTCTTTCTGTGGGCAGCAATATGGCTTCTGTAAGGCAACACTCACAGAGAAGGTTGGTGGGGAAGATGTTGCAGTGACCTGCACCGTGTTCCAAACACAGGTAAGGACATCATGGATATACCTGCCCTCATCTTCAGAATACAATGATCCCTTAACATTTATGAAGTGTTAGTAATTATGGGGCATTTGCTGCCCTGTCCTTCTGAGTCCCACAATATAAATTGCCCTGGGTATATGGAATCATCCACAAATGAAAGGATATTTCAGCCATGCCTTCCCCTGCCACGAGCTAGTGGCTTCAGGACAGAGCCAAATCTAGTGTGAGGTTGACAAGTCCATATTTCTATTTGCAGGGGGTTGGGTGTGGTATTCTGAGTTACACAGGTAGCCAGATGCTACTGGTGCCCAACAACTCCCAGTGCCTGCAGTCGTAGATGACAAGCAGGGTGATGCTGCTGGTCAAAGCTATAAGGCAGGGTGCTCGTCTTGTGGGATATACATGTAAGTCCACTGATACCAAGACAGTTGGTAAGAAAGGGGCTATTATAGGCCAGTTACCTCTCCCTCATGGCTCTGCAGGCAATCCTTTGTACCTTGGTAGTTCTTTTTTGCTAGATTCCTTACAAATAAAAATTATTACTGTGAGAGAATTGGGTAGGGGCCCTCCAGAAACATGAGTGGCCTTGCTTATGAGGAGAAAGGTAGCTAACCTAGAAATGGTTCTCTCTCCAGCCTTTGATACCGCAGCCCCAACCAGACGGCACCGAAGCAGTGGGCCCTACCGTTGTGGCAGACCCAGGTGTGACTGTGCCTGAAGTTTCACCTGACCTGCCTGCAGCTGCCCTGGTGGTAGGACCCGTGGTGGTAGCAATTCCCGAGGCACCCCTACCAGAGCACCGGGCACACTATGACCTGCGTCATGCCTTCATGGGTGTGGCCTCAGTGGAGTCAGCCTCAGGAGAAGCATTCCATGTGGGGAAAGTACCCAAGGTGGTGCACCCTGACGTTGCTGTTGCTGCTGGTCCAGTGGTCCATCCTTGCCCAGGGAGAATCAGACACTTCAAGATCTAGATGTAGGTCAGAGATGAGGAGATTTGGCCCAGGAACATAGCCGCCATTTTGTCCAAGTCTGGGTATGGGTGGGGGCCTTGTTTGCTATCGAAGCAGGTGCTATGCAGGTCTAGATTAATATCAAGTCTGCAATCCCAACTTCTCTTCCTTCTTCAGAGAATGGAAGCAGAGGGGTAATGTTATGTTTCATGGAAGGTATAAGGCTGGCAACTTGATGGTCATTGTTTTGATGCTAAGCCACCACCATTGTGTTCTCTCCCTTCTTTGACCTCACAAAAACAATTGGAACTGTGACTTTGAGAGGTGCTCTTGCCAACTTCATATTTTCTTGTTAATGAAAGTGACTGAAGACCTTCCTTAATAAAGAAGGTTCTAAGCTGAAATGTGGTCATGATTGTTGCTTCTTCCCTCCAAGCTCACATGTGATCTGTCTTCAAAATAACCATATCACAGAAGTCCCTAAGCAAAATCTAAGTGAAAACAAAAATAAAATGAAACAAAAATCCACTGTATTACTATGCCCAGGAAAAAATTAGACCAAGACCTGCTCACAAGCCATTGGACGTGCCCATTTCCTTATGACAAAATAATCCTTTTCATTTCATGAGGGTCAGAAAATATTGCTAAAGGAGGACACAGTGCCTGAACTTTGTACAAGCCAACCATTGGTTTTCCCCAATATCCAGGTAAGGGGAGATTGGTAATTAACACAGAAGCCTCATTTTAATTATATCTCTTCATTATTTATGTTGATTATACTGTATACACTTCATGTCATGATAGAGGATTGGTCTTTTTAGCCAATCCATTTTAAGACCTCAAGTTAAAGCTCTGGTTTGTAGTATGAATAGAGGAGGGATACTTGGGCAGGTAAATCCAGTGGACATTTGTAGGTACTATCCAAGTACTCAGCATAAAGAAATAAACAGTTCCTATTACAGAATGGTGTCTAGACAATTTCACTGTCTACTAGCATTAGGTTATTCTGAGTAACCTTAATGATAAGCCCTTTCAGATGGAATTTTAAGGAGGTGAGGCCAACAATCACTTGAGTGAGTTCAATTGAATCAAGGAAACCAGATCAAGCCTTGATATCTTATTACTGTTGCTTAGAGGTTTTGCCAATACTCCAGTAACCAGAAGGAATGGCCAGGAAGGTAGGAAAACCACTGGGTATCTCAGAAGCCCAGGGAAGATGAGGAAGGTATGATCAGCTGGACTAAATGCTACAGAAAGAGCAATGAGATTGAGGGCTGAGAAAAATCCACGGGTTAGTTGACTGGAGGTCATAGTGACCACTGGCAGATGCCGTTTCACCAAAAGGATGAGAGTGAAGGCCTACTTGCAGAGGGTTGACTGGTGGTATATGAAGAGGAAATGGAGGGAGGGGCTCATGCGTTCTCTTTTAAGCAGTTTGTTGGTTAAGAGTGGGAGAGATAGGATGTAATTCAAAAGGGTAACTAGGTTGAGGGAAGATTTCCTTTTCTGGAAAGAGGATTTTAAAGCATATTTAGGGCAAAAGATGGGGAGAGAGAGAAGAAGAAGAAGAGAAGAGATGGTGGGGCAAGATGCTGGGAGAGAGAATTTAGAAGAAAGTTGGGAACAGGAGGGTTTGAGCACGTCTGGTCCTTGCTTAAGGGAGCTCGCAAGAGCACCCTGAAAAAGCAACTTGTACCCAGCACTAAAAAAGACTCAGGCGCTTTCCACCATGGCTACACACAGGTGTTGCTGTGAGGGAGCACGTGGAGGGCAGGTGGTAGATACCCAACCCAAGAGAAATAAAAGGGAAATGTTACTGCTTTGTGTATTGGCAATTCAAATGGATGAGTCCCACCTAAGACACAGCTGGATCTGGGGGTTCAAAAGATATCGTCTGTTCCCTGCCTCCATCTCTCAGCAAAGCCTCCCTTCAATCTTAGCTAGAATGGTCACTGGCAGCCTCACACCTACAGCAGCACTAATGCCTAAGACTGAAGAGAGAAGAGCCAATCAAGGAGAGCCCAAGGATGAGCTAGCTATTCCAGGGGACTAGTAGGCGCAAAGGTCTAGAGGCAGGACATAGGTTGATGTGGCCAAGGATGAGAGAGGCAACTGGACCGTGCAGGTAAGAGGAGAAGGAGGTGGGCTCTAGGAGATGAGGTTGAAGAAGTAGATGAGGGGCAGGTCATGAACAGCTCTGCTGTCCCCAGAAGGAATTGGAGTGTTAGTCTCAGTGCCATGGGAAACCACAAAAGTTTTTAACCAGGTCAGTGACATAATCTGATTTATGTTAGAAGATTACCCAGCCACCATGGATCTCAACCTGGGGATGGGTGAGGTGGGGCTGAGCAATATCGCCTTTCCGCCAGAGGGATGTTTGGAAGTCAGTGGAGGCACTTGGGGTGCTACTGGCCAGAGGCCAAGGATACACACTCTGAAATGGACAGGTCAGCCCCAGTAATGAAGCTCCAACAATGAATAATGATTAGCTAATGCCCCGAATATCAATAGCATTCATTTGTTGTTTGCTGTAGGGAAAAGAGGTTGTAGCTGGGTAAAAACAGCCACAGGATAGAAAGAGACTGGAGCTTTCTAGGGAGAGATAATGTATAACTTAGGGTAAGGTGGTGGGCAGGAGATGTGGTGAAGCTATGATGTAGTTTTCAGGTAGAAATCCTAGGAGTTCCTGATGAATTTGATGTGGGGGTGAGAAAGAGGAAAGTGAAAGATGACTCCTGGATTTGTAGCTTTGCAAACTGGGTAGATGGTGATGCCATTCACCGAGGCAGAGGACACTGGTTCATTTCACTTGAGTTACCTCAACGCCTCTCCTCTCTGTCTTGAAAACGTGAAGTTGATTTTTCTTTTCTTCTTCATTTTGTTTTTTAAGATTTATTTTTTTTATTTTAGAGAGACAGAGTGTGTGTGCTCATGAGCAGGGGAGGGGCAGAGGGAGAAGGAGAGAGGGAATCTCTAGCAGACTCCCCACTGAGTTTGGAGCCTGACATGGGGCTCCATCCCACGACTCTGAGATCATGACCTGAGCCGAAATCAAAAGTTGGCCACTTAACTGACTGAGCCACCAGGCGCCACTGCAGTTGATTTTTCGATGTCAGGCTAACCCATGCCTTGATCTCATGCCTCTCAAGAAAGCAGTGAATCTGACAGACCTGAGTGACCTGGGCTAAGCTGCTTCACGTCTCACTTCTCATTGCCCTCATTCTACAAGCAGGTGTACACAGTAGCCTGGCAGGGGGCAACAGCGAGGACTCAATAAGATGCTAGAAGTATATGCTTGGAACCTTCTTGACACATGCCAGGTTCTTAAGGGTCCTTCCTCCCTACTTTTCTTCCTGTCCTCTGAACTTCATGAGTTCAGAAGATTATGTCTTGACCTTCTCTTAAATGTGTACTCTCTCCTTAGCAAGTCTCATGATTTAAACTCTCAGTCTCGCAAATAACTTTACAGCTCCAGTTTGGGTCTTATTTTTTAATTTCAGCATTGCATTTCCAAATGTCACCAGGATTTCCTCACTTATATTCACCTAGAACAATTTCCTATGTGATTTATTTTATCTAATAGATGCATACCTAAAGACTCAGCATTATTCAAAATGTGCGTATTTGAGAAAATTGTCTTCATAGAAATAAACATAAATTAGAGAGGATGAGTTATGGAGCTGTTAAATCTCCTGCCCTTACAGCATGTATTTTTGTATGAATACTCTATATTTTCTCAGCATCCTCTTTAACATTTTTCAGACTGTTCTCTCCTAAATTAATAGCATTGCATGTATCTCATTTACTTGCCTTCTTAGTGGCTTTTTAATCACATCTATCTCATGTTCCAAGGTTATTTCATTTCAGATGTATTTTCCAGTACTTGTACCACCGTCACCAATTAACAATATTTGGTGAATGTTAGGATGATACTAATATTTGCAAACTATAATAACATCAAACAGACTAACTGAATAGCAGTCATCAAAATCACTCATCAAAATTTTGCTGTTTATGAAAAAAATGTGGTTCCCATGCTACTGACAAAGGGTGCTGGGTATTTCTCTTTTATGGGACAGTCATATGGCAATGCCATAAACAAGGCTTACCATGTACTTACTTAAAACATATTCCATCTTTGGCTAATTTTTTAAATTTGGAGAATTCAAGTTGTTTTCAATTTTGTGTGTAAGGTGAGACTTTATTGCTATTTTACTAACCCACTATTTAAAATTTGCATGATTCAAAATCATGCAATTTACCTATTGTAAAATACAACTATTTTCTATGTGCAATCCTCAGCTGCTTCTCTTGCAAACTGACTCCCATCCCTGGCATCTTCCCCATTTTGGTCCATAATGCCCAGTCACCCAAAAATTAAAATTTCATTCATCACAAGGTAAATTCTATTTTTTTAGTCTTTAAGATTTAAAGCAAGATTATGTAACCTATATAATATAGCACTCTTAACACTGTTTCCCAGTTAATTGTTTTCATAAAATATTGCTGGTGCTAGAGTATACTGCTCCTCCTGCCTCTGGCTCTTTCCCTACCCCCTACCCAGGTCCCCAAACCCAAACCCCCATGCACCACCAGGAATATGTGAAATACAATGCTGACTTACTAGAATTTGTATATGTATGTATAATAAATATACAAAATATTTATATATTTATATGATATATAAATATATGTATATATATAGAGAGAGAACACAAAAATCTCCATTCAGTAGGTAGTGACTCTAACCCTTTTCTCGTGGCCTTCCAGAGCTTAAAATGTTCACATAAAACACATAAAATATTTATCACAGCATTATCTGAAAGAGCAAAAATTGTAAACAACATAGATTTTCTGTAACGATGACTGACTAAATTTTGTTACGTCCATTTCATGGATGGACTACTACACAGAAATTTAAAATCATATTACAAAAATGTAACAATTCACGTAGGAAAATATTCATCATATATTTTGAAATGACAAGGCGGGTTTTACAATCATATGATTCTAATTTTGTATGTAGGCATATTCATATGTGCACGCACTCAGGCATGAAAACCATGTGGCATGACTCTCAAAGAAACAGGTTTTATGCAAGCACCGCGGCCTAACCCTCCCAGAAATAGCACTGGGAAATGGAGACGGTGCCAATGTTAACCAGATGTAAGCAGCTATTCCACAGTTTTTATGAAGCAGCTGTTCCTTGGGTTGAACCTGGGAAATGACGAGGCTAGTAACATATGGAGGTTTATTTACTAAGGGAAGGGTCTTTCAGAAGGCACAGTGGAAAGAAAGATTTGGGCAAAACAGGGATGCTTGATGGTATGTCTGTTTGCAAAAGAGGACACGAGAGCACAGAGACGATGACACAGCCAAAGGGGTTCTGTTGGGGGCACGCGGG